CTGCATTTCAGATTCATGCTTCCTGAGATTGAGAAATGTGAGACAGGCCTCCTCTTTGACTATGTTTAAATCCAGGTTAAAAACAGTTCAGCTGTGCATACAACTGAGGAGTTTCATATTTGTGTTTCTTTTTAATGTATTTGATTATTTATCACTAACACACTAAAGCTATCTTGTTTTGTTCAGCACTTTGAGTTGCCTTGTGTATGAATTGTGCTATACAAATAAACTTGGCTTGGCTTGTTGATTAGGATAAATTTGAACTATATTGTTTCTAATATAAAGAGATCAATTATTTATTTTGATAATTGTTGTTTTGCATATCTGTCGGAACTGTTATCTCTGTATGCTCCTGTCAGAACAGTGAGGTCCGAAAACCAGCTTTTGTTGAAATTGCCCAGATCTGGTCTCAAAACTCGGGGGAGACCGAGCCTTTTCTGTTGCTGCCCCTTAACTGTGGAATAGTCTACCTCTGTCCATTAGAGCAGCTCCTTAATTGGAGTTTTTTTAAGTCTAGTCTAAAAACACAGTTTTACACCTTGGCTTTTAACACCAACTGAGTTTTACCATTTTACTTTTACATGTATGTGTATGTATTTTATGCTGTTTTTCCTTTCTTTTTATCTTTCGTGCCTGTGAATCACTTTGGGCAGCTGGTGTTGTTGTAATTATACAAATAAAGTTGACATTGACATTTTAGCACACCCCTACTTGCTCCACTGGTTAATATGGGAAAGTATTGCCTCTGGACTAAGTGAAACAAAAATAGATGGATGCATGTTTATACATTTTATCTCAAACATTGAGGACAAAACAACAGCGTCTTGTCACTTGTAATTCAACAGTTTGTCATACGAGAGATAAGAAGAAAAATGCCAATATGCGTCAGTCTCTAGCAGCGGCACCTGTTAGTGCCGTCTGATACAGCGTGAGTGGGAGACATGAGACAGATAGTGGTGAAAAAGAGCAATGCTTTTAACCGGCACTGTTTATATTGGAAGAGGAGACCAGTATGTTGTGGTCTGATTTGTTCACAAAACTCTTTTGTTTGGGACAAACTACATGCATAATTCACCCTCGCTGTGTGAAGGATAGGTTCTGTAGGTCTTTCCTCCCTGCTGCTGTTAGACTTTACAATGAGAACTGCACAGTATAATGTACAGTAGATAACTCTGCACTACTAAATACAGGTCCTTCTAAAAAAAATTAGCATATTGTGATAAAGTTCATTATTTTCTCTAATGTACTGATAAACATTAGATTTTCATATATTTCAGATTAATTACACATAACTGAAGTAATTCGAGCCTTTATTGTTTTAATATTGATGAATTTGGCAAAAAAAGTAAAAAGAAACCAAAAATCCCTAGCTCAGAAAATTAGCATATCATAAAAAAGTACTCTAAACGAGCCATTAACCTAATCATCTGAACCAACAAATTAATTCTAAACACTTGCAGAAGATTCCTGAGGCTTTTAAAAACTCCTGGCCTGGTTCATTACTCAAAACTGCAATCATGGGTAAGACTACCTGACTGCTGTCCAGAAGGCAATCATTGACACCCTCAAGCAAGAGGGTAAGACACAGAAAGAAATTTCTGAGCAAATAGGCTGTTCCCAAAGTGCTCTATCAAGGCACCTCTGTGGGAAGGAAAAAGTGTGGCAGAAAACGCTGCACAACCCCAAGAGTTGACCGGACCTTGAGGAGGATGGTGGAGAAGGGCCAATTCCAGACCTTGGGGGACTTGCAGAAGCAGTGGACTGAGTCTGGAGCAGAAACATCCACAGCCATCGTGCACAGGTGTGTGCAGGAAATCCCAAAATCAGAAACAGCGGCAGAAGCGCCTGACTGGGCTACAGAGAAGCAGCACTGGAATGTTGCTCAACATTCCATGGGAATGTTCCCGTACTGGAATGTACGGATTTCATCCGTACTTTTTCCGGATGAAATCAAGGTGCCAGAGTGTGGAGGAAGACTGGGGAGAAGTCCAGTGTCAAGCACCCACAGTCAGTGATGGTGGTGGTCCACTGTGTGTGGCCACTGTTGCAGGGACAATGCAGCTGGCTATCAGGAGATTTTGGAGCACTTCATGCTTCCATCTGCTGAAAAGCTTTATGGAGATGAAGAATTCCTTTTTCAGCACGACCTGGCACCTGCTCACAGTGCCAAAACCACTGGTAAATGGTTTACTGACCGTGGGATTACTGTACTCAATTGGCCTGCCAACTCTCCTGACCTGAACCCCATGGAGAATCTGTGAGATATTGGGAAGAGGAAGTTGAGAGTCACCAGACCCAACACTGTGGATGAACTTAAGGCCACTATTGAAGCATCCTGGGGCTCCATAACACCTCAGCAGTGTCACAGGTTGATCGCCTCCATGCCTCGCCATATTGAAAGCATTCATTTCTACAAAAGGATTCCTGATCAAGTATTGAGTGCATAACTGAACATTATTATTTGAACGTTGACCTTTTTTGTATTAACATTTTATTTTATTGGTCGGATGAAATATGCAATTTCTTTGAGATGGGGATTTTTGGTTTTTCTTTACTTTTTTGCCAAATTCATCAATACTAAAACAATAAAGGCTCGAACTACTTCAGTTGTGTGTAATGAATCTAAAATATATGAAAGTCTACTGTTTATCAGTACATTACAGAAAATAATGATCTCAATATGTACAGCATCTAGAGCTAGTTAAGAAACATAGCTACTACTTATTTTGTATTTTGTATTTTTGTGTGCTCCCTGTGTGCTCTTGCTACTGTCCTGTATGTGCGCTGCAACATCAAAATTTTCCCACTGTGGGACGAATAAAGGAACTCTTTCTTATTTTGAATTTGGTTGCCCCAACTTTTATAAAATGTAATTCATAGATTAATCTCAAATTTGTGTGTGTTGATTGGAAAATTCCCATCTATGTTCATATTGGATAGATTATGGTACATTTTATCTGTCTTAATCTATTTCCCATGTAAATAAGGAAACTATTTGAATGTCTTTGAAATTATCTTTATTTTTATTATTTCTAATTGAAATTTGAGAAATTTTAATTTCACCTGCCTGCCGGTCCTTCACATCACCTCTGTACCCCCATAGAGCCTTCATGTTTTTCCCCAAATACCTCCAGATCTTTCTGAGCTCCTGTCCCCGTCCAGACCCTGGGAGGAGCTATGTGAACTCCTCATTCAAACCAGCTGTGCCTTTCAACTCCAGAACATTTTTTACCCCCTTTTTTGTAACTCGATTCTTCAGTTGGATTCTTCCCTGCCGATAACTAGCTTTTACCATTTGCCCTAAATCGCCTGAAGGGCTGGAAAGATGTTATTGGAGGATATGAGGCTCATGTCGAGTTGCTCATTTCTGCTTTTGGAAGATTTAACAAAGTGTTAATAGTGCTAAAGGTCAGATAAGATAAAGTCTGCAGTATAGTTTGTTTTGCTTCTTATCCGGTTCAACTTACCTCTGTGAAATAAAGTTTTGTATGAGCTTGACTGGGGAAAAAACTGACTACTTTCCCCCTAATTTTACGGTGATGTAATTTTTAGTTTTCAAAACTGAGGCACACTATGGTTAAACTGGCTACATACTGCTGGATTTTTTGCCAGATTTTAGCCCTCCATGAGTTTAGATAGATGAGTTTAGTCCATGATCGATAGATAGATACTTTGTTGATCCCTGTAGGAGAAATTCAGATGTCCAGTAGCAGCAAAAAAATAATAATAATATTGCTGATATTTTTTTAGAATGATCGACAGCCCTTCAGGTCACAGCAGCAAAGATGTAGCCACTGGGTGGAGCAGGACGGGTCACAGCAGCAGAGGTGGAGTAGCCATTGAGTGGAGCAGGACAGGTCACAAGGTGGAGTAGCCGCTTGGTTCGGACCATTTTCTCTGCTCTAGTCCAAATTAAAATGCTAAATGCTTCATTAGCATTTTTCAAAAAGTTTGCATTCCTCCAGTGGATTTTAATTTGATCCACTTGGTTCGAACCATGAATCCTCTCCTCTCCGGTCTGGACCGTGCAAAACCATGAACACTATACTGCAGCAACATCTCGGGTAGAAAAAAGCAAGAAAAACAAAAATGGTACAAACAACAACTGTTTCAGAGCTACTTCGGACTTGCAGCCGTTTTCCAGCACATTCAAAAGTAAACGAACGTAAGCAATGCTTTGTAACAGTTGTTTTGACTGTGGCATCAGTGGAGACTGTCACATCACCAATACAAAAGCTCTGTGCGGTGCCATAGTCAAAGATGTAGAACTGTAGCGCACATGACAACGTTTATCTACAATATGTAGATTCAGGAAAATCCGAAATGACAGAAACTAACCATATTCATATACTGCTGACATGTTAACCCGTTCAGCCACCGGTTTACCAGGGTTTTATTGCCAAGTTATTTGCGCTGCATCACAATGTACTGTGCTGCTACAGCAAAAATACAGTAACTACAAAACAGGAAAACATTGACATAGGTTTATTTGTACATATACACTAGTGTTTCTATAATGTACTGTGCAAGTGTCAGCTCAGCTCTTCATAATGCCTGAAAGTATCCAAAGTCCTCATATTAGTTCCGGTTCAGAACAAAATGGACAGTGGATGACAGCCGCTGTTCCCACCACACAAAGTGTCAGCAGTGTTTTTCCCTAGTCATTTTCTTTTCTACTGAACATACAGCTGAAAAAAATGAAGATGCTCAAATAGCATTTGCATGAAACTGGCGCTGTTCATGGGCTGCATTATGTTGATACCTTGTTTGTTACGTTCCTTACACTTCATGTGTAGAATGAAGAAGAAGAATCCTGGAGGTGAGCACAGTGACACTCACTGAGCCACGCTCATCTGCACAAAATACAAGCCTTTTTACTCATGACATTCATATAACCCATTGTTTTTTTCAGTCTGTTTGGATGGAACGGTTCCCACAAATTTTCTCTGCAGCCATTACTCATTTCTTCCTCCTCATCTCCTCCTCTCTCTGTGCGACAGGCATGTGTAACCCCAAAAACTACAGTGACTCTCCGGCCACCTCCAAGAGCACCGTGGAGGAGCTGCACCGGCCCATCCCCTCGCTGTTCCGCGCTCTGACAGAGGGAGACACGCCCATAAACATGATGGTCTGGTCCTTTCCTGTGGCCGAGGAGCTGTCGCACCATGAGAACCTGGTGTCCTTCCTGGAGACTCTTGAGAACCAGCACCAAAACGTGTCACTGCCCGGAAACAGTATACATGCCAACTATGACGGGCAAGGTACCAGAGTTCATGCACTCGATTTATAGTAGGCTTATGTTGTTTTTTTGAGCAATGTTGAAATTTATTGTAGAGTGTGCTAAACCACAGATTTGTTTGCCCAAAAGGATGAGTGTGACAGAAACGGTTACTGAGCTAGAGGAGTTTCCTATTCAGTGTATGTCCAATAGGAGCCAGCGCAAATCGAAACAAAACTTCCTCCATAAGCGCTTTCCTATTGGGCCTTTTTGAGCTAACGAGTTAGCATTGACCATCTCTATCCATGATCTACAGTATATACAGTCTATGGTTTGCCAACCCAGGGTTTTTGTGAAATTTACTTTGTTTTTTCACAGTGGGAATGATGCTGCATTTTTGCACACTTAATAAATCAAACTAAAATGCAAGTGATGAACATAGACTTCAAGTACAAGACTGATTTTTGTACACACACCTTTAGTCAACTAGATCTGCTGGTATTTTGGTCAACTGTAAAAACAGAGCAAAAAATAATGAAAGGAGCAAAGAGAGACAAATCCAATCCAAGTCCCAAACCAGACCATAAACATGACTGTTTTTTGAGCTGTGTTGGAATGGAAGCCAGTCTGTGTCAGCTTTTCACCACAGGGAAGATGGGTCAAATGTGTCAAAACAATCCTCAGTCTTTGAAAATGAGGCTTCTAATGTCATTGCGCTGTGGAAGGGAATCTCAATACAATGGCCTATGGCGAAATTTATAATAATCCACGTTTTGTTCAATGTTTGGCAACTATGTTAGAGCCAAATATTGTTTGTTAGCTACAGGTATTTCTGTGTTTTCTGAGAAAAAAGGAAGATCAGCAAAAGGGAAGAAAATAGCCAAATGTCTGTCCATTCAAAGGAAAGCCATTGTCGTTCCAAACATCAGCAGAAGTGATGCGTTCTGGCCAGCCGGTTCAACCAGGCATGTAGTGGTTCTACTTCTTACAGGACCAGACCATACATGAGCATTCTGTCCAATCAGAGCTGACTGTGGATGGCGGCGCTTGCTCACGTTGCTCTCATCCTCGTGCTAATAAGAGCGAAGCTAGTAATGTTTATTTATATAGCGCATTTTACAGACAAAGGTCACCCAAAGCGCTTTACAATGTTCTGTTTGTTTGTTGTTGTGTTTGAGCTACACTAACTATACCAAACACATCACACCAAGCCCTGTTTTACTGCACATATTTAGGAAGTACAAAAGGTGATAAAAGTTGTTTTGTCCACATTTCCATCACATGGTTTTCAGCCCTCACTCTTAATAGCAGTGATTCACTTTTTTCTCTGCTCCAAAACATGTGGTTGTACTTTACTCCATTCTGCGTTGGGAACGGGAAGAACCAGTGTTTTTAGTGACATCTGGAGGACAAAATGTGAACAAACGGCTGGAAAAGAGATTTATATTACTATCTATTGTAATGATACGTATAATAATTTTTATTCACAATAAAGTTAACACACTGCATCAACCACTATAGCTGAGAAGGAGAGGCTGAGGGACAGTGACCTGGTCTTCAAAATGCCCCATTGCAATGACCCACGCCAAGTTTTATCTTTTCTTTTTCATATAAAGTACTGTTGCCATGTCTCTTATAAAATATTAAGGAAAACAAAATAACCTGTTGCAATGGAATACAGAGAAGTATAGGGAGCGCTTTATGGAACACTGTTTAGTTTCTATGCATTTGTCTCTTTTCAGTCTGTTATGTAATCACATTTGTTTTTGTATTGCCATAAATCACAAATGATTCGCCAACAACAGATCAGAGAATCAAACCTTTCAAACGCAGGATATGACATAATAACAAACACATAGGGAGCGGGATGACCAATGTCCTTGAATGTCATGCATCGGAAAGTGATATTAAACAAAAACGGTACGAAAAAGTGAGAAACCTCAGGAGTTCCATACTGAAAGAGGGATCCACTCCCACAGGCGGACAGGCTGTAGAACCAGGACTGAGGTTGTGCGATGCAGGACAGAATATTCTCCCATACGGGTAGGGGGGATGCAATCCACGAAAGGGGAGACGAATAAAAAACGCCAGATTCAGGGGTCCCATTGCAATTAACAGTAAAATAACATACTTAGCTCTGCAGCAAAGGTTTTAAAGGTCTCCTTTAACTTGTGCATGTTGTGTTGCAGAGAGCATGTGCACGGTGGTGTACTTTGATGACTGCGTCTCCATCCATCAGTGTAAGCAGTACTGCGAGTCTATGGGAGGATCTAAGTATCGCTGGTTCCACAACGCCTGCTGCCAGTGCATTGGCCCTGAATGCGTGGACTATGGGTCTAAAGCCGTCAAATGTATGAATTGTCTTTTCTGATGCACACACAGGTCTATATCACTTTAGTTAGAACAGACTGGTTTTTACTCTCCCAGATGTATGATACAGTTTTTTTGATGATGCGTAGGTCCTAAATGAGGTCTGTAAATACAAAACCAGGATTGCGAATCGAAAATATGTACTTGATTTTATTCATTGAGATATTATCAAATTAAAACATATACAGTTGTGCTTGAAAGTGTACCCCAGAGATTAAGTAGGATGACGCAAACAGTCAATTTTAATTTATTTTTACTAAGCCCTTTGTAATAAAGGATCTCTTAATCTTCATCTTAATCATGTTGTCAATCTTAGTTCTTCATTCACCAACAACAGATCGGAGAATCAACTAGTTCGAACACAGGAATTGCAATAACAACAGACACATAAGGAGCGGGATGATCACTGTTCTTGATGTTCAGTGATGTTCTTAAATGTCCTGGAACATCACTGTCCTTAGACGCTCCTGCATTGCTAAGGAAAAACTCAAAAAAAAAATACTGCGGGGAAAAGTGAGACACCTTTAGAGAGGTACCCACTCCCCCATATAATGACAAGCGGTCCCTTGTCATTATAGCAAGGGGCCACTGAATGTCCCCATATACGTTTAACATGGAAGACAGCTTTGAGTCTTTTGTGGTAGTGGGGTAGTGTAGTCTGATGGAGAAGCTGCCCATTCTTCTTGTCCTCCAGTTCCTGTAAATTCTTTTACAGGAACTGCACATTTGACCCCTACACTGATCATTTATGTCATAATTTTAAAATAAACTGTTTATTTGAGAGTATGTATGGCTTCATTCATCACTATCGATAAATTCATATCCAAAACAGTGGGTATTACAAGCACAACTGTATTTCCCATCCACTGCCATGATTGTATCGCCAAACGTTTTCAAAAATTATTGGGTTATTGATTAGTAAAAACGTACTTGTAATTTCACCAGCACAATAACTGCTTCTTGTGCTGTCATTCTTTTCATAACACATTTTGAATATAGCTTAAACGTTAAAACACAGAAACACAACCTACTCATCCAATCTTTGGCATAATTTTATTTTTCTGAATTTGTCATATTTTTAAGCTACAAAACCACACATTTTAATGGATTACAATTATGTCATCAGATGGATTTTTAAACACATTATTCCCAAAATGTTTTTTAAATGTTTCTTACACCGTTTTTTGATTCTTCATTCTTAAACATAAGAATATTTTACCTGCTTACATCTCAGTTAAACATGACTTACTTTTAACTTGTGTAAAGACTTTTGTAAAACTCTATGCACAATGTGTAACTCTGCTGTTTGCTCCACTGTATATGTTAGATATATTTTCAATAGTGTTTTTACTAGATGTCTCTATGTTTGAATATAATGTATTTTTACACTTATGAACGACTATTATGCTTTTTTTCTAGTGCCAAATAAAAATAGATTTTTGGTTTGGAGACGCATGCGAGTTGACCTGCTTTTGTTAAAAATACTAAAACTAGTGTGCGGGTATATGCCTACCTTGTACCTACTCTGAGAAATAGATTGCTATACAAGAGATCTGGCCTTGTGTAAGGACTCCGATTGTGTATCTGCTGTGATCCGTGTAATGACTCTAATATGTTTTGATTGTCTCTTGATATGACACGTATGTCCTTCGATGTGTGATGTAACATTGACTATATAGAGCTTGTTCTAACGCTGTTCTGTCTGAAAAAACAGAAAGAAACTGAGAATAAACTTCCAGGTTGCTCTGGTGCGTAAAGATCCCGTCTGTGTGAGGCTGATTTTCCACAGATTTGGTGGAGGATGCGAGGCTCTGAGCGCACCTTTGCCCTGGTTGTTTTGAAGCTGTTTCTTTTTTTCAGGGTGAGGGATCAACATGAAGACAGGTTAGCTACCTGTGTGGGTAACCAGTCCCTATAGGAAAAAGGTCAGAATAGAGAAAGAATAGTTAGAAAAAGACAAGGTAGAGGCTCTTTGAGACAGGGCAGAGGCTCTTTGAGAGTAATTACAGTGTAGAGGCCCTTTGAGTTAATGACTAACCATGGTATAAAACCATCAAAAACAATTAAAAAAAGTGACAAAAGGTCCATACTTTAAACTTTCCCAAGTGTTGATGACATCCAAGTGTTTACTTGGATGACAAAAGTGTAAAGAAGGTCAGTTATATTCTTGTAATTGAGTCTAAATTGCATATAAAGTTGAATTTTGTTGAGACACTCAGTAAGCGAGTGTTCAATTTTGTCTATAGTCTAAGCTTTTTGTGAATTATATGCATTTTAGGTTCAGTTAATGTAAGATAAGATATACCTTTATTCGTCTCGCAGTGGAGAAATTTCGGTGTCATCGTTGCGCACATTACAGCAGAGAAAGAAGGAAATAAGGGCACTCAGATTGCACACATCAAATTGAGTCTATTATTTAAGATAATAGACAATATAATTGAAATAAGATAAAGAATAGAATAAAATAAACTCTCGGGTTATAATTACACTTGGTTCAGAAGTATTTACATATATGTATATTTTACAGAAGTAAAGTGACTGGTGAATTGCAGAAATATCCGATGGACATGTAATAATGCAGTTCTACTTCATGGTGCTCCAGCCACTTAGTTCGCTGTGGGTATGCTCAAGAAGCCTGAGCTTCCCGCCAGAGAGAAATTAACGCTCCAATCACGTGCCCGTCCCATCTATAAATAGCCCTCTACAGCCCGCACCTGCCACTTTTAACTCGGGCGCCATAGAGAGATCTACTTAACTTGATGGAGAATCGAGATGCCTTCTCTGCTAGTCCGAGTTCCCTTCTCCCTCCGGCATCGGACGAGATAGGTAAGCGTAGCTGTACTTCACTGCAGGAACGAACACCCCGGTGCTTCTTCTGCTTCCCCTGCCTGGGCTGACTGACTCTTCACCAGTGGGGGCGGGTCCCAGCTCAAAAGTGGCCAATATGACGTGCGCTGACATGCTTGCAATACCACCCCGGGCCGATGGGGGTGGACCCAGAAGAAGAATTAGCCAATGCTAACATATAGCGTTGGCAGACCTCTCAAAAACGTCTTTACAGGATGGACCAAATGTTGGCTCTTGGCCCAAAGCTCCGTTCCACATGTGTGTCAATGCTGAGGGGGGTGAATTTTTTTGGTCCACTCTAGTTTACTCGCTGTGAATTTTTGAAGTCTCTCGTTCAAATGAATGGAGCTGCGCCGGCTGACGCATGCGCAGATGCGTTTTTTCACAATTTTCTTGTGGGCGGGACCACTCGCGGCCATCTTGGATTGCTCCATGAAAGCACTTTTCATGGCCAACTCCTATGAACAGCGGAGATAGGCGTGACTCTGTCCGTTATTATATACAGTCTATGCTCTTCACGCACCGCCCAGGTAACGGGCCTCTCACTCTCCCCAGGGGGAGAGAGAGAGAGTGCCGCGATTCAGGCTCCAGTGTCTCCAAATCCTCCTCCCACCGCAGCCCTCAGACAGAGACAGAGAGGGCTCGGAGCAGGGACAGGAGAGGTCCGAACTCACCCGTGTGCCCACATATGAACCCGGTGTTCACTACGCCACACGTGACGGCCCCACACCCCAGGGGAGCCAAGAGGCTCGCCGTGGGTTTTGGCCTGTCACGTGTGGTACGGGTCAAAGACTGGTCAAACGTTTCCTTTGTTCTTCCCCTCTGCTGTTGGACTCTTGAACACTTCTTAACCTGTCCCCCCGCCCTTTATAAAGTCACTTTACTGCCCATCATACGTCACTTTACTTCACTGTACTGCTGTCACCTTACATTGTGTGCACCATGTGCACTTGTATATTGTAAATAGTAACTGTAACTCTATTTTAAATTTAAATTTATTCTTTAGAAGTGTTTTTTATTCTTATTTTTATTATCTCTTTTTGACTGTTGCACTGAGCCAAAGCAATTTCCTAGTCTGTGACCTCCTGTTACTTACGTGGCAATAAAAATGATTCTGATTCTGATTCTGATTCTTTGGGGGGCCCACCGGAAGAGGCGCGTTCTCCGGAGGACCCCCCGCTCTGGGACCTTAAGGTGGTCTTGAGGGGGTTATCGGGACCTCCCTTCGAGCCTGTGGCCCAGGCCAGCCCCGAGTTTGTGGCTCTCAATACCGCCCTCTTGCTGGCTCTCAACCAAGAGGGCAGGTGAGCTATGCGCACTCTCCGTTCGCCCGGAATGCCTGACATTTGGTGCTGAGGATGGTGTAGTTGGGCTTGGCCGAACCCAGCCTTTCTGCCTAAGGTTGTTACTTCGGCTTTTAGGTCAAGGGTCATCAGGGTGGTTCCCCCGGTAGGGTTCAGGGCGCACTCCACACGAGGAGTCGCGGCCTCCACAGCTCTGCTCCGGGGGGGCCTCGGTGGAGGACATCTGCCAAGCCGCGTCTTGGGCTTCGTCCTCTACCGTTGCTCTGTCATATTTAGTGGACGTGGCACAACGGTCGGTTGCCCATTCCGTTCTGAACGCGGGGGTCTGACTCGGGACCGCGGGACGTTCGGAGGGAGCTGACCCGCGGCCTGCGGTTACTCTAGTCCGGCTTCAGGAGCGCTGGATGGAGGCGTCCTGGGGTCGTGACCCGCTCTTCCCGTAACGGGTTGCCATACTTCAGGAGCTCTTGGTAGAGGCGTCCTGGGTATGTTTCTTCTTCTCATTTTTCAGGAGCTCTTGGTAGAGGCGTCCTGGGTATGTTTTCTTGCTTACTCCTACGGGAGTCCTGTCAGAGTATGGGCGTCCTTGATAGAAGCGGCCCTTGCTCTGTTCTTGCTCCTCAGGACCTTGTCAGTGTTACTCAGGCGTCCTTGGTAGGAGCGGCCTCGTACACTGCTCTTCTTCCTTCCTGCCCCGGGTCCATGCGCCTTGATAGTGCGGCGGGAACTTGGGCAGGGCTCCAATCACTGTACGCTGGCCTGATGGGAGTACATCTCTCTACAGCTTTGCGTGGTACCCACAGCGAACTAAGTGGCTGGAGCACCATGAAGTAGAATTGGTAGTTACCTA